AACAACAACAACAACAACAACAACAACAACAACAACAACAACAACAAGTGAGTGGCCAAAAACATATAGGGTCATATCGTGGTCGATCAGCTTGATTGTTTCAGGGTCATGTTTTGCGCCTGGCGTCAGTCGGAGCCTCCACAGTATCATCGGGCATTCCCTCGATCATGTGCTGGAATGGCATCGCCTTGCAGGGTGAGCCGAGGATGAAAACAGGTTTGGTCATTGCACATCACAAGGGTATAATATTGGATCCTTCTTTCATCGCAGCTGGACTTTTATACATGTCTACAACAACATTCTTTGTAATGCTCAGGTTGCCCAGGCCTCCTCCCCATCAGTAGTCCTTTTGGATGGTTTTTTTGGATGATGTCTTGGAGCTGGCTGCTGGACGTTTCTTGGTTTCTGTATCCTTTCCCTTTCGCCCCCCCTAAATTCAGTAAGTCAGAGTAGCCGGCTAAGTCAGGAAATTCACCACTGCCTTCGTTCTCTTCATCATCATCATCATCATCATCCTTGCCCCTTCCAATTGGTTCATGGTCACATTCAGAGCCCTCTTCTTCTTCATCATCATCTTCATCGTTCTTATTTCTCTTATTTTTCTTTTTCTTCTCACTCTTCGTCTTCTCACTCTTCTTCTTCTCACTCTTCTTCTTCTTCTTCTTCTTCTCAGTCTTCTTCTCCCCCTTACCCTTAGGTTTGCTGCCATCTTTTCCTTGTTGTCCTGGCGAGGATTCCTCCGAAGAGTGGAAGCGTTCAGGCACGATATGGCTTGATCCGGGAGCTTTGGCAGTCGCTGGAGTTGTGACAGGGCCTCATGCTCGGGAACCCATGCAACATGACATACTTCGTTCATTGTCGTCCTTCTTATATTTGATCGATTTGCCCCTGACTAGCCAATCTGGTTTCTAAAAGAATTGCAGCTGAAGCACAACTAGTGCTGACTGGTGGAGCATGACTAGCGCTGCTGGTGGCAGTTGTCCGCCCAGTGGGCGGATTGGGCTTCCCAAGGATGCTGTTCAAGTCAAAAGCCTGGGCCAGGTAGCAAGTTGATGGAACAGAGTCCACCCCCACAAAGAAATATATAGTAAGACCAGTAAAACCTTGTGCAACAATAACTCATTTAAGGAACTGGTGTAGCCAATTGTTTTGTAGCTGGACCATGTACAATCTCCACATCTGAATCACTGCGATGCAGCGCTTTACGGTCCTTTCCAGCCATAGCTATAGATCCTAACTCTGAAAGGCAGATGATGCCAGATTTTCTCCCCTGGAAAAACAGCAGCGTCAGAATGAACAAGAAATGAAAACTGAATCCCATTGCGGAAACGGTCAGTTCCTGCGACATCAGGCAGTGGGCAACCTTCCCTTTTTTCAGGAGTGCTTTGGTGAAGATTGGCAGGGCGGGCCTAGCTGGGTTATCCTATTGAACCCACCAGGTTTGGCTTCAAACCTTATACATATGAACAACCTTATACATATGAACTCATGAAGGCTGCAAACATACAACCCTTCTCACATATATGACGTTCCAACGGTGAGTTCATTGCTGTGAAGCACTGCTGGGACTAGTTTGCGGACACAGGCTTGGCCTGACACAAAATGCAGAACAGTCGGTGCAGCCCAAAGCTTCATAGTGCAGTGGTGGCGTTGTGTTCAAAGATTTCCAATCAAAGCTTTTAATTTCAAACATGTTCAAATCAAAGTGTTTGAAAGATCACATTGCCACCTTGCAAAGACATCGCCCTCAGAAAATGCGCACGAACGCCGGCCCCAAGTCCAGAACGCCGGAGAGACATGCGATCGGTCGGATCGGCACGATGGTTTTGAGACCATTAGAATTGCTGCAATCCAACCTCAGGGAGTCACAAGGAGTCACAGGGAGTCCACAGTTAAGATTGTTTTAAAATTGGTGGATATATACAGTATAGGTTTTGTGGGGGGCGCCTGGCACGCCAACCAATCACAAAGCGCTTCGCATTCTTGAATTGCGAGATATCAATGACAGAGCCAAAACTTTTTGCATTGATCCCTGTCCCTGATTGCTTCTTCCTCTTCTTGGTCTTCCCGCGGCTTCTGCGCATCCAGGACGAAAGTCAAAGGCTTGTCAAGAGTCGGCTGCCAAGTATCAGCTGTGTGGGCGATCGTGTGGTGGGTGACGGCCAACTTCACCTGCATGGAGGTTCAATGGGGTAATAACCCAAATCAAAGAATTGAGACATGGGAAAAAACATCGTGTGAACCGAGTTCTCAATCAAATTGGATGGAAAAGGGGAAAGCGGGATAGCCCTGGGACCTCACCAGCATCCTCCAATTCTCGCAAGATGGTGGGTAACAATGTCGGCGAGTCAATGCATGGTAATTTTGCGAGGTGCTCCGGGACTCCCTTCTTTTCAAGAAGGATGACGGACTCACTCGTCAGTGAGAAAGTGAACCACCTCCCAGCACTGTCCTCCATGACTTCTTGAGCATCCTTAGGTAGACATACTGTAATACTAGCAAACAAAGTCTAAATCACAGTTGGATCAACACTTGGATGAAGACTGCCCCATCCAGCTTGCCAAGCATCACGGTCAGCTCTCCATTCGCCGCTTCCAAAGGAGAACCTCACAAGGCCCAACGCTGGAGGATGGGGACTGGGGACTTTCGGTGAGGTTTTACCGGTGGGTACCTATTGTTCATGTCTTGTTTTCCACACCCAAGTTCAGTTGAGAAACAGCTCCCGATGCATCAAGAACTGATTCTTGGCTTTCGAGACAAGGAAGAGCGAAGAACCCTGATCATTGCAGACAAGTTCAGCGGTGTTGTTGATCTCCATCTTATACCTTTGTCGGAAACAGGTTGCTTAGCGCAGACAAAAACTTGAATCAGCTCAGCGGAACATTTCATAATACCAATAACTTTGTTGTGAAGATGTTATAATAAGAAAAGCCATGCTACGGGTTGGAAAGATTGACAACATCATTCTCTGTGCCCATCTCCCCCTGCTCCAACTTGATCCTTTTGAGAGGACGACCAGGGTCATCTGAACTGTCCGTGGTCCTGGCGCGGTTGCAGGCGGCATTGTGTTTGGGACAGGAGGGCTGAGAACAAGTTTGAACCTGCATTTTGCTAAACAGCATGCCATGTCCTGGGTTGCTCCGGCTCCGCCATGAACTCCCCATCTGGGTTGAAGTACTTGTTGTGCTCATCGATCATTGAACGACATTCTTGGCCAAACTCATCTGATTCAAGAAACTTGTTGGCCAGGGCAGAAAGGATCAAGAGCTTGTCGTGTCGCTTCAAAGTCACTTGATACGACACTTCAGACTCAACTGTTGAGACATTCTGTATGGCACTCACCAAAGGATTGTAGTCAGGAAAGTTCTCTATCTCGATAGTGCCCTGGCGGGCTGATTCATACAATTTGTTTGCCACCCTCTGCTGCAAGGTGTCTTGAGGCCGATCCAGCACCACAGTTCCGCACAGGACTCGGCGACCATCAGAGCGTTCCTGCCCGGATTCTAGGCTATCATCCATGTGTCTCGGTAAAACTGTTTACATTGTGGTCTACCCAAGTTACACCCATGTACGCATTGTAGCCTCAGTCAAACAAACCAAGCTAACCCAAGACAGAATGTAAATTTGATCAAATTAATGATAGTGAGATGTGTTTGGTGGCTCACCATTGTGCACGAACAATAGTATGTCATTATTTCCAGATTCGGTGTCACCACTGGAGAGAACATCCTTTGAACAAAAAGTACCCAAATAAGTTCCGTGGCTTTACCTTCTTTACCTGAGACCACCCACTTGAAGACTTGAAGAACTGCCAGCAGTGCCTCCAAAGCAGCTAGAGCTGGCCATGCGTCATACCCAAGCAAGTCGATCAGCACACATGTGGATGAGCTCTCTGGCAGGAATGATGCAAGTGTGCGACGGACAAAGTCGCAGCCCCCAGCGACCTGATGGGCTGTGTGCCACAACCGCAACATATTCAGATATTCAGATATGTATTGGTGTACTAGCAAGGTATAGCTTCCTGATTCCAACCTCCCCTGGATCGGGTCCCTGATCACCGGTGTAAGTGCAATGATTGCACAATTTTTATGCAGCTTGTTTGCTTTTTTAAGTTTGGAAACTTGAAATATGTTCAGCTAGCAACATCATAGCCTCTGGGGGTTGCAAGTTGACGCCTCAAAACGATACTGATGTTAGGAAGGTTCCGGACAGGCCAGGCCAGGTATTATAGTAATACTTGTTTCCAGATCCAGCCATGACAAAGCCTCCAATAACATCCCACACCGCCTTACCCCATGTATGGTATAGTTGTGGATTGTATAACATATCACCTTGCCCACACCCACACCTCGGTAAAAAACATGACAAATCCCAAACGCAGATTTAGCTGGTTGCCAGGATAAGGCCAGTCATGATTCATGATTAGGGTAGCAGAATCATGAACAAAGTGTTCTTTTACACACACACACACGAAGCAAACGCCTCTTGGGAAGCCAAAGGGCCTGACGAAGCTCCTGAGCATCTGTGAATGCTCGCCCCAGGTGGGGAACAGTGCTTGCAGCCTCAACACAAGCACCGCCCGATCAGAACCAAACCATAAACGAACCGGCTCGAGCTTGGAGTGTTCTTTTCAAAACTGAAGATGTAATCAGTTAATCTGATGTGCAGCTTAGACACCTCTGGTTTGAACATGGCACCCCGCGAAAGCATCTGCACATCGTGAACGCAACCAAGTTTCCAGCCCTTGCTCCCACGGACGATGTTGGACTTCTCCTTGTGTATGACTGCCAGACCATGAATGGCGCCAGACCGCTTTCCGTAGATGCTTGCCTCCATGGTGGGCACCAATCAAACCAAAAAACACTTTAGTCCAAGTTGGCTACCAAATTTTTGGACAAGATACCTGGTCGAACACCCACACCAAGTCCTTGACCACGAGACTACGCTCTTTGACAGAAAGCGTCTTCCTGGGAAGCGGGATTTGGTATCAGACAAGGTACCTAGATCAAGTGTATTTCACCCAAGTTAAGAATCAATCCCATATCATCTTTTTCAGATTAAGTGCGCTCCATTCCAACATTACATAATCCTTGGCTTCAACAGAGGCACAACAAGGTGTTAAGTTAAGCCAAATCTCTCCAACCGGTGTCTCAAATCCCGGATGTCAGCAATTTCTGGGTTTTCCTTCCCCTCATCACTCTCATCCCCCGACTGATCATCTCCCTCATCCTCATCCTTGACTTGGCCCCCGTCATCCGCTTCTTCTTCAGTCTTCTCAGTCTTCTCCACCTTCTCCGCTTTGGCTCCAGAGCCTCTCCTCCACAGGGTCTTTCAATCACAGTGATCTTTAAAATATAGTTTGCAAGTCGATCAGGCTGGACATTCATTAACTTTGGTGGGAAAGTCATTCACACTATCGGTCCTGGCAGGATCACCAGCGCGATTTGCATCAACAAAGATAGCGACACCATTGCGCTTGTAGGTCGTCAGCATGTTGGTCACTGCTGTCAAGATAAAATCCTGCTTTGCTGCGCCCAGAACACCCGCCGTCGGCAAATTGCACCAGAGTACGACGGAGTGGTCTTCAAACGATCGAACTGCCTTAGCAGGGTCAATGTGGTTGTAAAATGCCGGTGGCCACAATGGGCCTTGTTCACATGTTTTCACCCACTACCCTCGAAGTGGGAATCAGCAAGTCAAGACAAACATTGGAAAGGTAACAAGGGAGAACAACTTTTTAGCGATGGTCCTGCTTCAATTTCAATACATTTGGTACTGAAAAACCCAGGTGCCCCACTGAACCATACTGAACCTATGTGTTTCACACATACGCCATTATTGAACTCCTCCACATCAATGAGCGCAAATTGCTTTATCGTCCCTATAATTGAGACAAGTGTCGCTGATGTCGTTCAATGTTTCTGTTGTCCATGAAGAAAGAGCCGGTAAAATTGTGCTCTCCGAATCCAAAGCTTTACCTGAGAAGAACTGAAGGTTGGAAGTCATGAAGTCCGCGATGCACGACCATGCCCTGCGATGGCAGTCCTGCCGGCAAACTCAGGGAGTTGGGCGGTAGGTGTTGAGTTTCAATGCATTTGGCAATTTGGTATATGATGTAACATTGATGCATGAGTTTGAAGTCGAGAACAATGAGACTTTAGATTGAAACACTTGCCATGGTGGGGCCCACATACCAAACACACCCGGGCCTCAAGCTTCGCGACCAATTGCGCCCTCCTTTTGGCGCTCTCCTTTTCGGACCTTGATTTGCTGAGAGAGGATGAATACACGTTGAGGATATGATCGTTTCTTGCTTACCACCAATGTTTGTGAACCATGAACCACCAGTATGCGATCAAACAATCACACCCCTTGCAGTGGTGAGTGTGTTGAACTTAAGTCTATTATGGCTATGGAGGTTGAAGGGACACAAAAACGAACGGTGCCATAAGCATCCTTGTGGCACCTTTCGTTTTTGTGTCCCTCAACCTCTCTTGGCAGAGCCCCTGAAAGTCCCAATCAAAACCAAGCTAGCAATTCCAAGCCACATAATCTTTTGGGCTTCAAACTGGCACTGGTCTGCGTTCAGCTGTTCTTTCCACACGTTGAACCCTGCCAGCTCTGACTTGGTCCGGGCATTGCGTGTTTTGTCCTGCGCATCGGAGATGAAGTCCTCCACAGTTTGCCCTCTGATCTGCAGCGGGGAGGAGGAGGAGGTAGAGGAGTGAAGTAGAACCAGGTACCATGCTTACAATATCATGGACTTATATCAACTAATTAAATGCAATCAAACCTACAGCAGCAGAAATAACACTTATACATCTCACAGCAAATGCTGGTCACAATGATGTGACGATCTTTTTCCTAAAGTTCAACCCCCACATTAGGGTTACTATGCCTGTTCAAAAACCCGATCAAGGTTGAATCCTACATGCATGCCTTTGTAACAGAAATACCTTTGAAGATTTGTTCAACATGAACATGACCGCCTAAAAATATTTAAGCGTCTTTTAGACAGTTAAACCACATTTGGAAGAAAGCGTGCTTGTAGCAACCTGAACGATATGTCTCATTTAGATAATTCAAAGTGCAAGACACAATACCTGGTATATGAAAGGAAGTGTAGAAAGAAATACAACAACACAAGCCAACTTTGGTTTGTATACCATACAGAAAAGTAGCAAGTCCAGATCAAGTGAACCCGTTGCATCACTTGCGCCCATATTGGATGTTTGGTTTTCATTTGAGAGTTGTATGACACCATGTGAAACAGAAATAAGCTGTCTATACTGTATAATATCATGACAGTCTTTGGGGGGGGAGCAAACCTTACAACCAGTCATGCTGCAGCCATAGGTTAACAATTCCAGGGGCAGTTATGTCTTTAAAGGCACACCGCCAAACAGGGGCCTCAAGGACAAAAGGGATCCTGTCCCAATCGAACGGCTGCCCAGCGCGCATCACCGCACCCAGGTCTGCATCCAATGTCCTGAGTCAGAAGGTGGAGATGTGGGCCCGCGGGAAAGTTATTTGGTTTGTTGGGAAAAAGGGCAAATCGATCGACCAGTGCCCAAGAACACTTTTAGTACAAACGCATGAACTTCAAAAGTATGTGAATAGACTCCCAATTCAATTGAATCAACCCTGATTTTTTAGAATAGTTCTAAAAATGTACAAAAAGGAATCACATTTCAAAGGGCAAATCAACTTGCAAAATGTGACGGGTTCTCCCAGAAACACATCACAAAACCCAGGTTCTGGAGCATCCAAATCACTTCTGGAAACATGAATCATGTTTTTGAAGATGATTTGCTATCCCGAATCACAATGAATTGTGACGGGTTTCTGGGAGAACCAATCACATTTGAGAAGGAGATTTGGCTTGCAAAAGTTGATTGCTTTTTTGGGTTCATTCGCCGGACTGATTTGGCCATGGCCGGATTTTTAGGGTGGATTGTGACGGGTTTCTCGGAAAACCCTTGAAACTTCAGAGGTTGAATTAGGCCATGGCCGAATCCATCAGCCAATTTGTGACGGGTTGTCATGAATTTCCGAGGGTCCCCTCCCAAAACATCTTCTCATGCTTGTCGCAAACTGCGCCAGGAAAAGCTTCACGAAGGCGAGGGCGCAACCAGATCCACAGGCTGAAGTCAGCGTCCATCCGGGATGCCAACTGGTTCAAGTCGTCCACTCGGTTTTGTTCCAAACTTTGGGTCAAGACCACGTCCCCTTTGTTCACTGTGTTCCAAAATCGTTCGGTGGTGGCCAAAAGGCTTTGCGGATAGACCAACAGTGGTGGTTGACTCAAAGCAGAATCTGACATCGTCAACTTCACCATTGCAAACACATCCTTCCCATTCCCGCAGGCGCGAAGTCTGCGGGGCACATTGTCCTCCATCTGGAGGCCATGGCCCTGCCCTGGCATGCCTGCCCAGGTGATGCAGACCCACCAGTGGCAATATAGGAGATTTTATCGTTCAGAAACTTTAAGACAGTCTTGTTTGGACAAGCCCCCCAAACCTTCTCTCCGCATGAAGCTGAAGCTTTGGGGAACCTTCAAGGCATCTTCCCGGTCTCCGTCACCTTTGCGGGCCCTGTAGGCATTTCTGAGTGTAGCCCCAGTAGGCATCATTCGGCACCAATCTCTGATCTTAGTGGAGGGGAGAGATACTGTTTTTTAAAAGTCATTGCTGGGACCCCCAACTTGAAGAACGCTTGGTATTCTGGAATGTAAATTGGTTGGTACAGCGTTGACAAGTCACGGTGTCCACCATGTCGCATTCAAAGCGCAAGCCAGACTTTGCAAACAGCGGTCCCATGCGCTGCAACAAGGTCCTGTGTAAGAGGACATGAAGCTGTACCAGGCATGCAGGGATTGGCCAGGGCAGGCAGGAATGAAAAGACATCAAGAATCAATCCTCCTCACATCCATGGGGGTCTGAAGATTTTGCTCTTGGTTGAGGGCAGAAGTCACAATGCTGAAGATACCATCTATCAGGGTCAGGGCAGAGCTGAATTAAAGCATATCACGCAAACGGTGCAAGAATTCAATGTTCAAGAATGTTCAAGATATGTTTTCAACACCTTGCCTATATCCTCGTGAGTGTGTCCAACCTCCAAGTGGACATGTGATCCAATGTTGAAATATCCTGCTTGACATAGCAACGTCAACCATCTCCCTGTAAAGGAGTTGCGGACCTCTTTTGCAGCATTGTCGCCCTGGAGCCAAAGCCTGGGTGGGCACCATGAACAAAAGATCACAACTTTGTGCCAACTTCTGCTCACTCCTGACCAGGTCAAGACGCTCAGAAGGAAATGAGGAGCCTCGCTGCCTCGCGATTGACCATGCTTTGTCAATCGATCTCATAGCCTTAGTCGGGTACACAGGGCACAAGCCGAGAATGAAACTTTTGGTTCAAAGGCTTATTGATGCCAAGTTCAATGATCCTAACAAAAAACTGCTGAAGTTCTAGTCAGATGACAACTTCGATGGTCCAACTTGCCCCTCCAGCCATCCCTTCATCCGCCAAATAGAGGAAGACTCCATATCCATGAACGATGCACCCCGTTAGCGTCAGCGATGTACTTTGGGCAGATTGCAAACGGTTCTAGCTTTATGTCAATTTCATTGTGGGCCCCTCATACATCAGAATTCAAAAGCTTGAAACGTTTGCAACCTACTTACGACGGATCTGTTCGTAGATCGGTCTCTTTGGAGTCCTTCCAAAGGGAAAGCGAGGCAGGCATACCTTCGCATGGTCGTATGAATCGAGTATTAGCACCAGGAGGTCATTGTGGCGCTGTGCCCTCTCACGGGCCATCCAGTATATCTGGCGGTCTTGCCATGTTCTTGAATAGTGATGGAGCAGACAATCACTCCAATAGACATGCTCTTTCATGTCCTTATATAGATACTTGGCGCAAACTATCCCCTTGAAAGATTCTCCATTGGGTGGAAAGGTTCCCCATGTCACTGCACCCCAAAGGCGGCAGAACAAAGCTTGCCAACGTGCATAAACCGGTCCAAGCTTCAGCGGCATGCCTCACCTTCATTCGCAGTCTAGAACATGTCTCACAGATTGCGTGCTGAGTACGCTTGTGAAACCGGAGACATGCACGCCATTCTTGGCACACTGTGAAGAACGTGGATTTCGCGGCCGCGCTCTCGCCCTTCGTTTTGCAGTACGAAACGTAGAGGAGGTAGATGTTACTCCAACTCCCATGAGGCAGTTCCCTAAGAGGGAGTTTTTCCGGGTTCCGGTTCCAACTCATTTGCATCGTTGCACCCACAAGTCTAGAGTCGATCAGGCGCTCTAGTAGTTCCTGCCTCAACTCTTCACCACCCTTTGCCAAATTGGCTTTGGAAGCAATCCTTGACATGGGGCCAGTGTAGTAGGCAAAAAGTGTGGAATAATTCAGAGTCTTTGAAGCAAGTGTAGACCCTAACTTGCAAAATGCTAGCAAGGAACGCAGTGCTCATGGGTTCCGCTGCCGTCCAGTAGAGGTGAACCAAAAAGCTGGTGACAGACGCTGACTTGACTGCCAAAGGAGCTGCTGGTCCTGAGGAGGCTGAGGCGAGGCTGAGGCCGGTCCTGGGATTGGGCAATCCTGAAAAAGGAAACAAGGACGCCAAACCAACCTCAAACAAATCTAGAGCTTATCACTTATGGTAAGCCATTTCATCCTATGCAAGGGTCCTCCTCGACCAGACACTGACCTCAAGTCTTGGCCACGAAATGATTGTTTACATCGAGAAAGGCGGTGTTTACCCACTCCAAGCAGGTGTGCCCATGCCTCTCTGCACACAGGATGTCCTGCAGTACTGAGCGCCGCCGATTGCAGAAACCAACCCATACTTGGAAGCACTGTATAATAGACTCATAGTTTTGTTTCTCTTGAGAAGGAATGATGAGTATGGCTATCAACAACGCTGGTCATCGCACAAAAGATACAACACGACTATCAGATGCAGCATATGATCTATAATCAGATGCCACCAGCACCAACCTCATCATTGCTGCCACCATCCCACACGAATCACAGAGACATTCAACATCAGCATCGTCAGCCAACATCAGCCAAGTCTTCATAAGTGTCACCATATTATATCCGGAAATACAAGGGCGTTGGCGTCATTAGCAAAGGGTAATAGTGGGTGGCATCATTCCCATCCTCATGGTTACCATCATCATCGACGACAACATCACCGGCACTGTCAGCTTCATCACCACCAACATCACGACCCTCATCACATATATTGATCTACAGAAATAATTGTTCTTGACATTCTTTGGATTCACATATATCTTGACATATCTTGACCCTCATCACATATATTGGATTCTTTTGGCCTAACACAACTAAAAGAAATAATTGTTCTTGACTCAATCTATATCTACAGCCTACGGTTTTTAGTAAACAAAAGATTCCAGCGAGCAGTCCTTGCAGGAACCACTGTTTCCGTTTCTGATGCCCCGACTCATGCTGGATCGCCCACAGGAGGCTGTCTTGCTCTCGCTTGAATAGACACCAGAAGCCCATGCACAAACGAAGTAAGACTTTGAAAGTCAGTTTGCATGCACAGGAGCAAACTGGATGTTTCAAAGCCTTTTTGATACGGTGTGCGGAACTGCCACTTTTGGCGTACACATTTGAAATCTTGCGGGGTTTCGGCTGCAAAGAAACCAGCCTTTCATAAGTCAAATCAATGTACGCTCTCCCTTCCTCACTGGAATCAGAACTTTCCGAGGAGCTTTCGGAAGTAGGGTCTGAATATTCTGAATCCGTGCCATCGCCAGAAGAAGACCTCATGAGAATAAGAGACCCTGGCGACCCTGGGCTCCATCCTGGAATTGGAACTTGAATCTGAAGGGGGTGATGTAATCGACCTGACCTGTTTGCAACCAAATGGCCCAGAAACATCCGCGTCCGATTCGGATTCATCCGATGAAGTTATATCGTATCGCTGAAGTTCATTTTCAGAGCCCGCGTCGGCGTCCCACCGACCGAGGGGCATAACAGATGACATGGCCCCAGGTATATTTAGATACACTGTTCGTTCCACTACTTGACATGCTTCTGGTCAAGGCTTGTGTGAACTGTATGGTTCATGCTTGTGTTTAACATGGCAACCTGACAAACCGACATCAATTGCAATGTAGTTATACAACATGAACCCATCCGATCTCCCCATGTACCTGCATGAACCAAGACACACATCACTTGTGACGTTTACATGTTTGATGAGCTGGAAGGCATTATGTTGAACTTTGTCAGACATCACTCGGCCCGTTTTAATTTCACCCGCTAGCTTCCAGCAGTCAAGATTGAATTTACTTCTGAATTTCTTTGCCTTCTTACATCGCTAAGTGCACAGGATCACAGGCAGCAATTGCTGCACACATGACAGGCAGAACACACCGCTGGTGCATAGCGTTGCCCCCCATAGAGTGCAAAACCTA